AACGATATCTTAAAAAATTCTCAAATAAATTCGATTGTAGAAGTGAATTTTAAAAAAAGATCAAAAACACTATTTTTCAAAACAAACTTTACCGAAAACTACACTGAACTTGACTTTTTGCAAAAAAATATGCGGCTGAGCACTACTTACCCGAACCACTAACACTTACTAGGGGAATTCCAGAAAAAAAGAAAAAAGCTATCCTTAAGGCTTTAGTTCCTGTAATGCCGATAAACCGAAGATATTTTTGGGAAAATATTTCTGTAAATAATGATTCATTAGATTTAATAACGTCTTTTGAAGAAGATTAACTACTAAGAACGATAATATATATTTTTTTTGGAAATAAAAGTTTTTCTAAATATATAATGTGATTTTGTACTATTTTTTTAAATATGAATTTAACCTCCGCTAAAATGTAAAACACAGTATCCGGTTTAAACTTGGTTAAACTGCAAATTTGTAAAAAACGGCAACCTCACAAAATATTTTGAACATATTTACAGTTAAATAAAAAATATTTCACTTAAATAGTGTTTATAGCTAGAATCAACATGAAAATCTGAAAGTAGACAACCATACCTACAAATATGCCTCCACTTTTCCCTACCTAGACTCAATAATAAATGACCCAATGCAGCGATGGTTCGTGGAGAATTAAAATGAACCACGAATTGAATGAACTAATGCAGAACGCAGATATTGTTAGATTTGTAAAGTCACAAAGACTAAACTGGCTTGGTCATCTACAAAGAATGCCAGATAATCAAGTTGTAAAAGTAGTCCAGAGATGGAAGCCCCAAGGAAACAGAACAAGAGAAAGGTCCCATAAAATATGGATAGACGAAGTAGAGAGGGATCTTAAAACCATGAACATCAGGCAATGGTGAAGGAAAGTATCTGACTGGGCAGAATGGAAGAACATTGTTAAGCAGACCAAAACTCACAAAAGGTTGTAGCGCCATTAGAAGAAGAAGAAGTATTTATAGCTAAATACCCTTAGGGGTCAACTCCCTGACAACTGGACTATAACTGAGGGTGAAACTATTTTCAGAAAAATCAGGATTCCACTTTAGCTAGGTTAAATTTTAACATTATGATCTGCAGGTAATCACCAAAATTTTCTATCATATGGATGGCGTTACCATTTTCTCAAATTGTGGATTATGTCACTTATTGATGAGAAATAGCATAAACTATTTATAGAATAAATGCCATTAGTCTGTTAGTAATGGTAAACCAGAAATACTTAAAAACACCAAGAACCTTTTTTCTTATTCTGGATTTTGAATTTTGCATGACTAGACCAAGCGACTAATTTTGTATATTATTTTTGCATTAGTAGATCAAGCGCCTCTTGCTACGGTTTTAATGATTGTAAATCGAATATTTGGCAACAAATGCACATGAACGTTGTTGCCAACAATTTGTTAAGCTGTTTAGGTTAAGTAGTGGCAGTTTTTGCTTCAATTTTTTTTATAAAATAACCATTATAAGTACAATTGAAAATGAACAATATTAAATCAAGAACTAGACATATGATTGCCAGTGCGATGGTATCACATAAACTAGAAGGTGTACAGGTCAGCAAATGAAATAAATATCTATAAATTAATAAGATTATACGGATCGTATATCTGTACCAACATTTTATCAGTTTTTCTGAGACAAAGTTATAATTTTCATCAATGTATGAGTACATATGGTTAAATTAAATTTATATTGGAAACTTAACCTTGATTTATTTTGTAGTAATTTTTTTTTGTAATACAGTGTTGCCGAACTAACTGTAAATAAGCAAACGCTGGACAATTTGATGATAATAATTATAGATTATGATTTGGTGAATATTTTTATCTAGCTTTGTTATGTTTGTATTTTTTTGCAGAGTGAAGCACATCCATTAGCACCAGCTGATAGTATTGACCTTATAGACCTTGTGCCAGTTACTTGGAAAACCCCATTAAATAATGAGAAAAATCCTGACAATGAAATTTCAATTGAAAATAGTGTTTAAAGTTCTGGAGGCTGACCTACCAGAAGCAAATTTCGACAATGAATCACTGTAGATGCCTTCAACTTCTAAAGGAGAAACAAGTAACATTATTCCTCAGCAAAAACAAAATCAGGAAGAGGAAAACGCATTAAACAGTGAAGTTATTATTATACAAGTAAATGATAAGATTAAAGAGGAACTTAAAAATCTTCAAGTGATAAAAACTATTCGCCCAAGGGAAGACCAAGAAACGGGAGAAAACATAAGTAGATACATAAATCAAAGTCGCGAATCAAGAAAAAAAAGCTGTATTCTAAACGAGGGTTACTTCACACAGAGAAATGCATGTATAGAATCAAAACAGTTCCGTATGTATATTTGTAAATGTAAGTGTTTGGAAAACATTGGTGTGGATAACGTCAAAAATGAATTTGATAAGTTTTACAATGTTGAATCTCATAATGCCCAGAGGGCTATAATTTGTTCAAATGATTTCGAAGTCCCAATAAAGCATAATGAGCAAAAACAAGTAACAAAAGAAATATTACCAGGATATACACAATATCTGCTGTAACAGTGTGTAAACCTTTTTGTTTTACAAACCTTGAGAATATCAAGTTGCAAAGTCAATGTAGCATTGAAAGCTATGAAGCATCCAATGAGACCAATAATAAAATTAACAAAAATCGTGTGCAAAAAGTAATTGAACCCATAATGAAATTGCCCAAGTACAAGTCACATTACAGAAGAGTTAACACAGAAAAATAATACCTAATAGAAGACACAACATTAAGTAAAATGTATGAATTGTTTATTGAAGCAGCACACAATGATTCTCTTAAATTTTCGTTTTAATAAAAAATTTTTTTAAAACAATTTAATCTTCAAAGAAAAATGTTGAAAAAGATACCTGTAGTATATGCCATTGTTTAGAATTGAAAATTAAAAATTACTCAGATATAAACTCACAAAAAATAAGCAAGTGGAAGGAAATGGAATTTAGACAAATATCATATATTATTATTATAAGCATCAATTATGTATTTACAACCTTGGTATCCATAGCAGCAAGGATAATAAAGGTCGTTGTTATTTTGGATAGAAGGTGAAGCTGGTAGGGGAGCCCAGGAAGTAGGCAGTCATCTTAAGAAACATATTAAAGAAAATGTTACTTCTGTAAAACATATAATTTGTGGTCAGACTCTTGTGACAGCAAAAACTGCAACATCAAAATAGTTTTGACTCTGAAAACGATTTTAAAAACTCATCCCGCCATTGAAAAAATTACATCTCTTTCTGGTCATAGTTTTTACTCAATGAAAGTGATTTTAGAGATACTGGATACTTTTGGACTACCCTAAAATTTCAACAAAATTTGTATACTGTTGGTGATTACCTAAATGTATTGAAGAAGTTCCGTAAAAAGAACTCATTAGCAGTTCACAGAATGAAAGAAGAAGAATTCATTGAAACAAAGAAGTTGGAAACTAGGTTTACAAACTATAAATCAGACAGAAAACAGTATGATAAACTGGCTTAAAACAAGACAAATTGAAATATGAAAGAAGAAACCACTGAGTATTTGTATGAACACAAAATTTATCACTAGTGAAGTTGAAGTATATCTTCACAAGAAACTTCAAAAAGGATGACCTATTGTAATGCAATTCCTAAGTAAGCACTTGATTCCTCTTTGGCCCACAGGCAAGCCATTTTATGTGCCTAAGCTTAAAGACTTAAGATCTTTAATATATCTAATACCAAATGATGCAAAACCTCTGTACCACTTCATATACAGTAACAATTCAGTAGAAGATGACAGTGATGGATTTGATAGAGACTTAGACTTTGAGATACAAGATAAGTAATGCTTACTTACTATTTTCATAATATTCAGAAAATCGTACTGTTAACACTGACTTCAAGTTTTTTTTTTATATTTTTGATTAATTTCTTAAGTAATATAAAATGTTCAAAACAACAACTTTTATTGTCATACTCTAATAGAAAAAATAGCTTATGACCTACTGATCATTCACTAAAAGTAATGTTTTAAAGTGATATAAGGTTGAATGCTCGAATAAATGAACTTTGATCAAATGAAAGGCAGATATCAAGCACAGTTTATTAATTAATTCTTGCCCAAGTACTTTCGCTTCCTAGAGCACCTTCAGGGGCATTTCGTCAAATTTGGCCTATCCTAAAATCTATTGAGAATGCCATAAACATAAAATTGTATATTAACACTATATGACACAAGGACAAACATTTTAAAATTTTTAAAAAACGGCGAAGCTACATATTGGTTGGCATCAGGAGAGAGAATGATGTAAATTAATCTCTTTCTGATGCCAACCAATATGTAGCTCCGACGGTTTCTTTAAATTTTAAACTTTTTGTCCTTGTGTCATGTAGTGTTAATGTACAATTTTAAATTTATGACATTCTCAATAGATTGTTGGATAGGCCAAATTTGACGAATGTCCCTGAAGATGCTCTAGGAAGCGAAAGTACTTGGGCAAGATTTAATTAATAAACTGTGCTCGATATCTGCCTTTTATTTGATCAAAGTAATGTTTTAGTTGCGTATCACTAGACCAAATGTCATCCAAATCGTTTGGTCTATTGATTTAGGTATAATAACACAATTGAACAATGTTCCAAAAATCATAAGTTGACCAAAAGCCTTTTTACTTTTTTTCCTTATTAAGTTATTTTTTTCTAACTTAGAGGATATACTTTATATAAAAAACTATTCAAAAACAAAAAATTACAACAATTGTAACATAAAGTGAATTTTAATAGAGTAAAAACTCTAAAGTCAAATATCTCAAAATCAATTTTGGGGCATGCTCTAGTAATGCTTAACACCATCCATATTTATAGGATTCTAATGACTTAATCCAGATTACTCAGCTTTCACTGTATTATGCATAGAAAGCCAGGAAACATATTGAAAATTGATGCCTAGTCTTTAAATATATTAAATAAAACATCTACTTACTTATAAATACTGTAAAAACAGTTCCGCTTAAAATTAAACACAACAGTGATACATGCATCGATATACCAGCTTCTTTCTTCTTCTTTGATGGCCCTTTCTTTGGCCTATCATTGTGCTGTTTATTCTGAAAACAAGAAATAATACATTAAAAAAATCATATTACACTTGGAGTCATTCATTTTTATATATCTTTTCCAGTTTCTAATGATAGGTAAGTTTGAGATATATCATAAGAAAATGAAGGAAAAAGAATCAAGACAAATGTTAGAAATTACTAATAAATACTAAATATTTACAGATATGAGCAGTTAGTTAGAAGTATTCAACTTCAGAAAGTTAAGACCAAATAATATGTAAGGCCATTGAGAGTCTAATGGTATAATGTGGAAAAGTGAAATTGAAAACAATAGAAAATAGAATATATATTTAAATATATCTTTATTACAAAAAAACAGTATCACCAAATTTATTTGAAATTTAAACATACTTAGTAAAACCAAAGAATATTAAGCCTCTATATTCTTTGGTAAAACAGTAATATCTAATTAGGGAGTTTCATGGTGTATGGGTATATAACATACATCAAAGAAGCAGACTTAATATGTCTTACACAAAAACAATTCCCGAATTAACACTAGCAAATACAATAGCAAAAATAGATGTTTAGTGACTACAGGAATAATAAGACAATGCGAAACAAAAAAATTGTGAATTTTCTAGATTCTTGATGTTGGAAGCAAGCAAAACATAAATGTTTAATAATATCAATAAATGAATTGACTTTAAATTTGTTTTATTAGCAATACAAAACAGAAAAATCGAAATTTTCCCCTAAAAGTGAGGTTAGTTCATAAAAAAACGTAGTTGTCAAGAAAAATACACTTACAGGTAAATAATACATATCAGTCATGTTAATAAAAATAAAAATTTAAATAAAATTTGTTTAATAAACTATTTAGTAATAAATAAAACAGAAGACATGGATGACCGTCACATCGGTCCCACGTCTGCAAAACACCTGTAACTTTAAAATTCCTCTTACCTTTCTTTTACGCAATTCTGCGTTAGTCATGTTTATTTTCTATTTTTAACTCCGAAATAAATGTTTTTTCTATACTAATTCTAATTATTGATTTTGAAATTATTTGAGGTTTTGCCCGTGTAATGCAATGTTCTATGACCGCGCAGTGTGATTTTTGAACTTTATTTCACCATTCACCATTCAACAAAAACAACTTAATGTGTTTAATTATCAGACTGCGATACTGCGAAAGTAACTTGCTGATTATGATGTTTAAATAATGTTGAATAACAATTAAACTATAAGATAATAACGATGACAACCAGAACCAGTATTGAAATTGATTTTAAAACTTGAACTGAAGTTCATTCAATAATTTATCTTAAGATACACAACACTGATATCAGATTAATTTATAAATTAATCATTATCACTATATTGTTCGATAATAAGTGGTGGAAAATCTATACCACTTTTATCATAAATAGATAAATTCTGACAGTAATTTAAACAACCCGCCAAGAATATTTATTAAGGTTGCTTTATACATATTCGTGCCGTGTCTGTTCCATGTTTTATGACAGTGACAAAATGTATTCTAGCTAGGGTCGATCTATACATATTCGTGCCGTGTCCGTTCCGTGTCAGTGCTGAGTCCGGGTATTTCTAATATTATATTTACATAAAACCGCGTTGTAGCAGGGTGCAGTCCATGTCATTTCCGAGCATCGTCAGTGCCGCAAACAAAAATATCGTTTGGGATTAATTTCACGCCTGGAACGGACGGGCATTGTCCATATACAATGTATAAATGTAATTGTAAAAGAACATTATTATTTTTTTTTGTCGGGCACTGTCATTATACGGAACGGGCATGGCACGACTATGTATAAATCGACCCTTATGAGTATATTTTATACATTGGCATTTTCCGGACGGGGCACGGAAAATTCTTAGAAAAAAAACGTGCCGGTTTGTGTAGAGGAGGGACGCTAAACTGAGTAGGGGTCTTTCAGTACTTTGAGCAAAACAGACTGAACGGAGAAGCCTTCAACCCTGACACGGCGAGTCCCAATGGCTGATAGGGAACGCTCCTTTAGATATGCAGGACAGGTATGAATAAGGCTTCGCCAAATATATACCCGCGGATCAACTGAGGACATTACACAGGTCATCAGCTGTGGCATTAGTGGCCCGTAGATGAGGAATACAATTCCTCAGTCATAGGTGCGGTACCACAAAGTTGTCTCCGGAGGCGTGTCAGGCAGAAGCTGACAGCCATGCCGGACGCATTTAGAAATTCGGAGAAATACTTGGAAATTCCAAGTTTGTAAGTCAAAGAACACTTAGAGATATTTTCATATCGCATTATTATTTCTGATATTTTATCTAAGATATTTTCTTCCGTAAGTTAAGAAAATACTTATATTTTTGTCTATTTCATTTTTTTCATTTTATGCTAAGTTGTTTCTTCCGTAAGTCAAGAAACGCTTAGCAATATTTTCACATCTTTTCTGTGTTTGATTTTCTTGTTTTCTATTATAAGTTGTTTCTTCCATAAGCCTAGAAACACTTATAAATATTTGTGCATTTATTTTACTTGTTTATTTCCTGTTCTAAGTTAAGAAACACTTAGACGTATTTCTATAATCTGTTTCATTTTTGCATTTCTTGTTTTATACTTTATTTTTCAGTTCTAAGTCGTTTCTTCCGTAAGTCAAGAAACATTTAGAAATATTTTCATATTTTATTCTCACACTTGCATATTTCATTTTTCTATATTTCTGTCCTAAGTTGTTTCTTCCGTAAGTCAAGAAACACTTAGGAACATTTCATTTGCATTATAATCTTTATACCATTTTGATTTACTTGTTTTTACTAAGTTATTCCTTAGATTATTTTTACCTATCGGTTTTCCATCTTTGCTCTGTTACTTTGTAACTGTTCCTTGGAACCGTTACCTATAACAGATATTTGTCGCTGGAACTGTTATTTATAACAGCAGTGGTATTTAACCCTTAAGGCAGCTTTACATCAAGGCTATGCAAGTCTCATGCTATGCAAGTCCGTCTTGCATGGCACATCTCTTGCCTGGCTTGACCTTTTTACATCAGAGATATTTCTGTGCCATTTTAGATCCCACTTTCATTGTTGCCAACAGAGAAAATATGTATCAATTTGAGGTTATTTTATTTTAAATAAATATAATTAAGTACCAAAATAAATAATATAATAAATAAATATACACTATTTATGGTTATTAAAAGGGTAAAGGATGTCAACCAAAGAAAAGAAAACATTGTTATTGTTGAATATTGCTGTTGTAGCAACAATCATCCATAGTCAACGACTCACCCAGTCGTTTTTACATTAACTTTAGACAAGACAATAGACATAGTATATCTATTTATCACCACTTAATAAACTTTATTAATAATTTAAATCAAAACACAACAATACACACGTGGGCTAAGGGACGCTATGATAAGGTTATGTTTTATTCTGTAATCTATTATAAATTGTTATGTTGGCAACATGAATTTTAACGATAAATTGCATGAAAAATAGAACATGTTCTAATTTTTCTAGTCTAGCACAGGAATTGCATGGAAATAGCCCGTGAGCATGCGCAGTTCCAAGATCTGTCTTGCATGGCTCTTGCCTAGCATGAAAATAGCATAATGTAAAACTGTCTTTATACCAGCGGCAAATCAGAGATGGTCAATACCCGTTCAAATTCCGGGGATAAGAAGAAGCCCGAAGAGCCGGCGATGGGTGCTACAGGCCCAAATGCCCCCTCTCGGCAACAAAGTCGCAGGTGAAAATCAAATAGTGATTTAACTGGCTATGATACTGCGAACATTCGTCCAACCCGTCCAGCAATCGTGGTGGTTTAATTCCAATATATCCCCCAAAACACAACATGTTGAACTTGAAACAAAATGGGACGATACCCCAGGTAAGTAGAGCTAGCAGCTCAGAGTTCCACACTGGAAAACTGGTCAGCCTCACGGATTCTGGGGAGGCACAAGCTCAACAAAACGCGCCAAAATAGATATGAACAAACAAAAACAGTTACTAGTAGCCGCATACAACAACCAATCGATGGCTAAAGATGAAAAGGTCTACGAATTCAAAGAAGAACTATTCCAGATAAAGTGGGCTATTGTAGGACTGTCAGAAGTGAAAAGAAGAGGCGAACAATGCATGCATCCAAACTCTGGAAATCGCCTATACTATACACGGAAATAGACGAAGCATATGGTGGAGTAGTATTTCTTGGCAAAAAGTATCTCGCACACACCATATATGTCTACATATAAAAGCGTTTCTGATAGAGTAGCGTATATTATAATAGACTTGGATATAAAACCAAAATTAAGGTTATACAAGTGTATGCTCCCACAACAACACATCAGGAAGAGGAAGTTGAAATGTTTTACGAAGATTTGGTAACGGCATTAGAAGAAAATGATACGAAGATTTAAACGCAAAATTAGGGAAAAAAGAAGAAAATACTGAAACTAAAATAGGGATGAATGCTTATGGCACACGAAATGAAAGAGGAGCAAAATTATATAACTTAAGAGAATAACAAAATTTATATGTCATCAACATATACTTCAAAAAATCAGCCAACCAAAAATGGACGTGGATATCTCCTGATAAAAAGACGAAAAACGAGATCGATTACTTCTTTTGTGCGAAAAAAAGACATTTTAGAATACATAACTGCTCTCAATCGATTTACAACTGGCAGGGATCATCGCCTTTTAAGAGCTTGAATTCTTGTTAAACAGACGAAAACCAATAAAAATAGACCACATAATTATTGTAATTAGATAGATCAAACTAAAATCCGATAGAAAGGAAATGAGTACAGAGAAGTCTTAAGAAAAGAATTTGTAGAATATTATCAACAAAAATAGTCAGACATGAACACAATTAATAAAGATATGCAACGAAAGCTCTTTAAAGCAGGACTGACTGTTGCAAAGAAAACGAAAAATAAAGAAGACAGAAAAAGTGATTGATAAAAACGGTTGATGGAAAAGAGACGTACATTTCTAAGCGAAGGAAAGCGAAACACCGATGATTTCAAAGAATTGAATAAACAAATAAAGAAGGGAGTAAAGGAAGATTTAAGGATCTACAATGAAAACAAGGTAGAAAAAATCCGACTGAATGATAAAAGATGGAACCAAGAAATACAACAATGGAGGCTATGGTTAGGAAAAAGAAGTAGAGGAAGACCACAAATGAGATGGATTGATGACATTAAGAAGATCGGAGGACACAACTGGAAGCAAGCGCCGCAAAATAGAAAACACTGGATTATTTGGGAGAGGCCTATGTCCAAAGTTGGATTACTTAAGGTTCAAGAAGAAGAAGAAGTACACAGAAAAATTAAAAAATTAACGTAAGTAATAGATTAAGTTATTTTCAATTTACCAAATTATTAATCTCTAAAAATTTAAATTACAGTTCTGTCGTAGCATGTCACAAATTTCTCAACCCGAGTCCATGTTTCTGTTTAAAATATGTTGATCGCGTGCACAGACCACTAGTAAGGTAATAGATATAATATAATATATAATATATAATATATAATATATAATATATAATATATAATATATAATATATAATATATAATATATAATATATAATATATATAATATATAATATATAATATATAATATATAATATATAATATATAATATATAATATATAATATATAATATATAATATATATAATATATAATAGAGGTAGGTGATTTGTGATCGCGTGCTGACACACTTCAAAGGCGGCATCTGAAAGTGGGCAGTGGGGATTCTGATTGTTATTTATTCTGTGGTAATGCCAACACGTTGAGATCTTCTATCCAAGTCGCTATATTTTCAACTCTCTTTTACACAGAAATATGTAAAAATGTTTTCTTCTCTATTCGGCCCGGTACGCATCCTGCTACAACGCAGTTGTATATAAATGTAACATTAAAAATGCCCGGACTTGGCACTGACACGGAACGGACACGGCACTGATATGTATAAATCGACCTTTAAGAAGAACAATATAAATTAGTAAATTTTTAGTGAGCATGGCAGAATTATCATATATTTCGTCAGCAGTCGTCATAAACAAACTTTCTATAAATTTTCGCCTATAATTAATTGCTATATTTTGTTTATTTCTAATAAGATTTTAGCCAATGTTTTCGTTTTAGAATAAATAAAATTATTCAAAAGTGTTTTAAAGCTATATCTAAAAATGTATAAAAATAAAACAAAGCTTGATTTAACATATTTTTTATTTTGTTTTATTCAATATTTATATCTATTTTTGAGCTTTAACATGAACTAGTGTGACAATCGAATAAGAAAAAAATAAAAATT